GGGGGGGGGGGGGGGGGGGGGGTTGTGCAGCGCCATGCAGGCACCTCTGCCGCAGGGTTTGAACTCTGGGCTCTCTTTCATGCCTACTTCACGCGCGGATGACAGAAATGCAGCCCAGCTGGGGGTGGGCGGCGTGAACGCAACAGGCATCTGGGAGAGGGCAGGAGGGAGTGGATGCTGTTTGTATAAGTGGTCGGGGTGTTTGGGGCCCAGGGAGGCCTTTTTCTGGAGGAAATGCATACAAAGGCCAAAAAAAAAAACGAGATGAAGGGAACCCACTCCAGGACCCTAGGCGCTCACCGGAGCTGGCTGGTGTCCCCGTAACTAAGGCAGCGCTTTGGGGGACTGGGTGGGTGCTGAGAGGGTGCCTGAGGCCTTGGGAATGTCTGAGACTGGGTGGCTGAGTCAGCCGCAGGACTGGAACCACCGGAAGGGGCACCTGAGGGAGGAGCGCGCTGTCAGCCTTCTCTCCCTCTGCCTCTTCTGGGTTCCCTCCCTTCACCCTCATAGCACCTGCGGGCCGGGGAGTATGGCGAGGAGAGCCGGGGCTACGGCTCCTCCTCCCTGGCTGAAGGAAGGGGTCTCCCAGCAGCTCTTGGGCACTGGCCCGGAGGCGGGGGTCCGGCTCAAAAGTTCGCAGGAGGAAGGCTTGGGCCTCAGCTGACAGAGAGCTGGGCATTGGTGGATGTACCTTGTACATGCCCACCTGTGGAGGGGGGGCAGAGAGGACAAACCCAAGATCAGACGCGCTCAAGACCCCGTCCGGCTCCACCCACCCTCCACAGGCCACGTCCCAGAGACACTCGCCTTAAACATGGCGGCCTGCGGGCTCCCTAGTTCGTGGAAGGGTGGTCGACCTGTGGCCATCTCAATCACAGTGCAGCCCAGAGACCAGATGTCGGCTGCCTTTCCATAGCCTCGTGGGCCCTGGTCAATGATTTCGGGGGCCATGTACTGCAGAGTCCCTAGGACATGGATAGGACCAACAGTGCCAATCTGGGCTTCAACGTCTCCATCAGCCTCTGGCCACCTGCACCCAAGCTGAAACTATCATCTCAAATAGTCCTAGCTTGAGTTTCATCATCCACCTAGTCTCTGTCACCTGCCGATCGTCCCTTTTTTTTTCTCAAGACGGTTTCTTTGTATAGCCCCGGCTGTCCTGGAACTCACGCTGTAAACCAGGCTGAGATCTGCCTGCCTCTGCCTCCCAGAGTGCTGGGATTTAAAGGCTATGGCACCACACTCAGCTTCTTTTTTTAAATATTTATTTATTATGTATATAGTGTTCTGCCTGCATGTGTGCCTGAGCGCCAGAAGAGGGCACCAGATCTCACCATAGATGGTTGTGAGCCACCATGTGGTTGCTGGGAATTAAACTCAGGACCTCTGAAAGAACAGCAAATGCTTTTAAACTTCTGAGCTGTCTCTCCAGCCCCGAAAGCTTCCATCCTTTATGCTAGGCTGTATGGCATTCAAAGATCCATCAGCCATAGGAGGGTTCCAGCTCGTACCTGATATTTCACCATTCTTCCCCCAAATTCTACCAACCCATTTTACCCCCCAACACACACAACTTACATCCATTTTAGGTGTGCTAAACTCATTCTCGTCAGTTATCCAATGCTAGAGTCTAGATTTTATCGGTTCTTCCTGTATCTAGGCACCTGTCTCCAGATCCCATTCACCCTTAGAGCTGTCACTCTGTGCCCAGAAGAAACTCCATTCCCCAGAAGTCTGCAAGAGTTTGACAACCCCCACCCCACCCCCACCCTGCTACCTGTGAAAGTCTCCGTGCAGGGTGTGATGCCAGCCAGCCGCTTGGAGGTGCCAAAGTCCGAAATCTTAAGCAACCCACTGAAGGTGTTGATCAGCACGTTGTCCCCCTGTTTGGAGCAGACGCTGGGATTGCCCCCCATCCTGGGACCCAAATCCAGGGTTACATCCTGAGCTAGCCTCTATCAGTATCCC